TTAGCTCAGCAGAAAAAACCAGTTGTCCTCTTCCTTCCACTTTTTCACCAGAATCTATAACAGCTATTAATCAACATATGACCAGAAAATCTAGACGCCAAAAGCATCCACCTTCATACTTGAATGATTATCAATGCAATGTGCTTTCAACCTCAAAAGCTATCTAGTCATCCATCATCCTGGCAGGACCATCTACATCTGGTAAGCCTTTTTTCATTTCTCAATTTTTATCCTATGATAGACTTAACCCCAAACACAGAGCATTTACTACATCTATAACAAATGTCTATGAACCAATTTTTTATAAACAAGCCATTAAATTTCCACATTGACAAGCTATCATAGACAGTGAAATTAAGGCCTTTGAAACGAATAACACTTGGACCCTCACTCCTCTGTCGCTTGATTAGCACACAATTGGTTGTAAATGGGTTTAAAAGGTCAAATTCAAAGTTGATGGTTTTGTGGAAATGTACAAAGCACGTCTAGTTGCCAAGGGTTACACTCAACAGGAAGGCTTGGACTTCTTTGACACATTTTCTCATGTGGCGAAATTGACATCTATCTGTGTTCTCTTGGCTGTTACAGCAGTTAATAATTGGTTCATTCACCAATTAGACGTCAACATTGCTTTTCTCCATGGTGATCTCCATGAAGAAGTATACATGGAATTGCCTCAATGTTATCCCAGTCATGACCCATCACTTGTGTGTAAACTTAACAAAAGCTTATATGGTCTCAAACAAACGTCCCGCCAAAGGTTCGCAAAGTTAACTTCCAGCCTTATCTCATATGGTTTCCATCAGTCTAACTCTAATTCATCCTTATTCTTAAAATCTACTAATGACTCTTTCCTGATTTTATTGGTTTATGTTGATGATATTTTCCTTGCAAGCAATAATCTTAGTGAAATTTAGATCCTCAAGAAGTTCCTAGATGATCAGTTCACTATTAAAGACCTGGGGGAATCAAAGTATATTCTTGGTTTGGAAGTGGCTAGATCTCATCAAGGCATAAGTCCTTGAAAGAGAAAATATGCCTTGGATATACTTGAAGATTGTGGATTTTCTGGTTGTAAGCCGATGGCCTTTCCTATGGAGTCTTCTCTTAAACTTACAGCAACTGATGAAAGCTGATTACTTGATCCTACAGTTTATCGAAGACTCATTGGCAGGCTCATTTATCTCACAATTACCAGACCTGATTTGGCTTACTCCATCCAAGTTCTAAGTCAGTTCATGTCTAAACTGGCTAAGTCCCATCTTCATGATACTCACAGAGTCCTCAGATATATTAAGGTCACACCTGGTCAGGGCTTGTTCTTTTCCTCTAAATCTGTTTTTCATCTGAAAGCATATAATGACGGTGATTTGGCGGATGCCTTGACACAAGGCGAAGCATTACTGGCTTGCCATTTTCCTTGGGGATTCCTTAAATTCTTAAAGATCTAAGAAGCAATCCACTGTGAGTAGATCTTCAGTTGAAGTTGAGACTAGAGCTTTAGCATCTACAACCTATGAAATCCAGTGGCTGATTTACCTTCTACATGATTTGGCTATTGCTCATTCTCAACCTGCACTATTATATACTAATAGTAAATCAGTTCTATCTATTGCTACCAATCCTGTCTTGCATGAGAAAACTAAGCATATTCAAATTGATTGCAATATCATTCGAGAGAAAGTGCATTCTGGTCTAATCAAGATCATCCATGCTCCTTCTCATCATCAACTTGCAGATGTCTTCAACAAGCCCCTTGGTTCTGTCTCGTTTCATTTTAATATCTCCAAGATGGGCATTTTGAACATCCATGCCCCCTTGAGGGGGGCTGTTACGATACAGCAAACCAGCAAAATCAGCAGAAGAAACCAAAAAAGAAACTAGCGGCAAACTAGAGAAGAAACCAGCTGGCAGGGATGAAAGATCTAGCTCAATTTCGGTTAATGATGTTAGTTTGTTAGACAGTTAATTCAGGTTTTTAGTTAGATAATTAGACACTTAGTTAGTTAGGCTGATTGTCTATAAATATCTAGATGTAATTCACAAATTCTTCAAGCTTGATTAATGGAAATTTTCGTTCTCTTCTTCAATTCATTTTTCTTTTTCACTGCAACTGCAGTTTCAGTTTTTAGCGTTTTAATTGATGAATTTGACAAGGACCTTGATCTTATCATTTGCCCGTGAGTCTATCCCACTTCATCTCGATGATCTCCGACCAGATAAGTGTTCACCTTGGAATTCACTATCTTGTCATGGCCATGAGTCATACTCAACCATGTATCATACTATCTAATATCAACGGGAGTTTTAAGGCTACCAAAAGTCGACACGTATATGGTATACTTATTTTTATCTCAAAAGAGTTTCAATCCTTATAGAATTACACCTCTGATTCTCCCATTCGTGCTAGCTCATGTTTTTCTAACTAAAAATCAGATCAAGGACAATTCAATTTTAAGAGAGGGGGATTATTTCACTTAAATTGTCTCGTCACCGATATTCTATCATTATAATGATAAAGATTAGTATTCTTTTTTCAATAGCATCAATACTAATATTGACCACAACAACTATAAATATCAATCTCTATTTATACTTATTAGTTTTCTAATAAAATAGTTCAGATATTGTATTTGATCCATAGTAAGAGTTGCCAACGAAGATTCATTATAATTGGACTAGTGGCGGAGTCAGCACCAAACAAGGGGACGCGGCCGCCCATGTTGGCTCTGTCGAAATTAACAGTCACTGTCGAGAGCCGAGAGGAAACATGAAGCGCAGGTGCAGGGACGATGGGAGGAAAATTGAAGATTTAGAAGATGATAGTTGTAAATTGGGGCTTTTCTTTTCTTTTTTAATTGTGGGCTTTTCGTTTGGGCCTATTATTTAATCATGCATTTTTTTAATTATTATTTTGGGTTGTATTGAATTATATTTTGTGGTAATTACATGAGGCCCTACTTTTCAAGATTCAAATTCCAAAATCAGATTTTGAGTTTTAATGTTCAAAAATCAGATATTTTTATATATAGATATATATTTTCTATATTTAATTAAATAATAATAATATTATTATAAAAATTAAATTATATACCCCCATCGCACACCACCCACCTCGCATTAAAATTGAAATCCCTAATTTCATTTCTATTTCAGATCTCCATCTCCCGATCAACTCTCCTCTCTCTCCGCCGTCTTCTACTTTCTTCTCATCACTGTCGC